AGCCTTACTCTTTTTCTTTGTAGTAAAGCAGGATCGGATAAATCTTCTATGCCGCGGCTATACACACATATAAGAAAAAACCGCATGATAAATTCAAAGCGCGATAGACTAAACGTCATTTTTCTGCCAACTTTACCATAAATAACCCTTATCTTTCCAGCATTGAATTGGGTTTTTGCTCAATCAGTCTTTCTAGTCTATTTAAGCAAATCTTCTAGTACAGGAGTCCACTACATGACTGCTATTTGTAGAGTTTCCATTCGTATAAGTCAAGCGTAGTCTACCGGCCAGGTACCTATGCGACTGTTCTGATAAGTGAAAGAACCCTGCTTGAAGTGAGAAAGTTAAGTACAACTAAGCAGTAGCTAATTTGCTACTGACAGCGGTAGGATACTTGGTCGAAGTGGCGTTTCCATATGAAATGTATGCTGTCTTATAGAACATAAAAGCTGATTGCAAATCTGCTTTCCTTATCTGCAGAGCGCTTCTGGAAGGAGGGCTCTGGGAATTTTTTGAGGAAAAACAATGATTTAGCTAAGATAAAAACAGGTGTTGTGGTTTTACCGGCGATTGAAAGAAGTAGGGACTGCCATGAGTTTATTAGATTAAAGGTATTTATTGCATAGAAGCCCCTGGTAGTAATCATGGCCCCATTTGAGCTCATGGGCTAAAGTTTTGAATGATTTTATTGTAATAGCGCTTTCAAATTTGTGCATGAAAAAATTCTCACAACTCTGCTTCCGGAAGCGCTTTGCAGATAAGGAAAGCAGATTTGCAATTAGCGTTTTATGCTCTATAAGATAGTGCACATTTCATATGCAAACGCCCCTTCGACCAAGTGCCCCTCCCTTGTGAGAAAAAATTTTAGCTTGAGAATTCTTATATATTTTTGTGCGATTTCATCACTTTTGAAAGTCGATAGCTCGTTGCCTTCTTGGAGAAGTATGTAGCATACAGTTTTTATATTTTTGAGTAGTCTCATCCTTCCACCCCACTGTTATTCAGAAATTCTGTATTTATTCTTCGCACACATGTCCGGTTTATAAAAGTTCAAACATCTAAATCTAAATCGAGAATCTCTAAGGCAATGAGGAGTCTGAACTTTGAGCTTATTAAAAGATTGCGAACAAAAAGTTGTAAACGACACTACAACTGCTGCTTAAGTAAACCTAGCTCTTTTTACAATGGCGTCAAACATCTCGTACTTCCTGAACAAATTTATTTATCATAGTATTCATGGCTCTATTGTGCGTACTATGCGCTGAATAGTCATCTGTCAAGAGTATGATATTCGATTTTCATTATTTGTACTGATACGTCCACTCTTTGACGTCACCGCTCTATTTTCTCGCGGACGCGAAATCCGCGGAGTGAACTCGTAGTTTGCGTGAGGTACTAATGAGTTTCTGGCCGAGTCTTTCCACGGCAACTCACCGGCACGGTGATTCTCGCCTCCGTCGAGAGTCATCGATCCTGAGCGCTGCTAAGTGCTGAGGGAAGACACTTCTTATCGATGCAAATTATCTATAGAGTGAGCGAATCACTTCCAGTCTGCCAGCGACTTGGCTTGGAGTCTTAGGCGATTAGGCTCATGCAAGGATGTGTTTTCCGTGAAAATAATTTGCAAAAAATCCGTGTGATCGATTGACGAGATACTCGACACTTAAGCGAGAGAAAGCATACCTTTATTAGGCTACTTTTCTTCTTTGCATCGCTCATCAGATTCGTGACCGACAAAAAACACACAGAGCGCTTGCCACACAGCTTTCCCCGCACTCTCGCTAACATATGTACTTTCATAACTCCTCCACAACTTCCTTCATCATTGTTGAAATTTATTCTAGTTTTGGTCTTAGTCTTACGAATTATTCATCCTACCCAAGAAAAAAACATGTGATCGGATGTCTGGAGTAATTGTGACTTTCCAACGTTTTATTCACATACTTGAATTTAAATGTCCTCTGGTTTATAGTGGAAGATAACATTTATCATAAGTTAAACGTATACAGTAACTTTAGAAATCCTTCCCGAATTCTTAGAACGTTTTTTATATTTTTTGGTGCAAAACTTATGTATCAACCACACACTATGCAAGCAACTGCGGTATTTCACCTCCACTTCATTCCTCTCGGAAATGTTTACAAAATATTATAACTTCATTCTTCTTGTATTATTACGATTTTCACTAAGGAGCTCTCAGACCTCAGTCCCTTCCCTCATTCAAGTGGTTTTCTTCAGTGTGGTAATGTGCGCATCAGACTCTTGCAATAACAGAACAGCCATCGTAGAGGATTATATAAAGTATGTTCTGAAGAAAAACCAATAAGTACCAAAATTTTCTTCGGACTTCCGCTGTTTTAATTTTTTTTACTTTTGTTCCTTGGAAAAATCTTCTACTAATCTGCTTAAGTTGCGATGTCCCGCTGTCCCTTGTTATAGCGATATGAAGACATCAGTAAACGAGATTGGGACTTTTGATATGTGGATGTAAATCGTTTTTCTTATTTTTTGAGCTAAAAACCTCAAAGGGACTATCGGAGATGCGCATGATTTTTGTTGTAATTTACTATTCAAATTTTTTCTTGTGATAATCGATTCCGCTTGGTGCTCCAGTAGAGTAGTCAATAAATAAATATATAAATAAACTAATTGTTGTTGCTCGAAAGCTAACAATTGAGCATTATATTACAGCTATGCACATTCTGTAAATAATTATTATAGACTTTGCCCTCTGCTTATTTGGAAAATCAGTTTAGCTCGTTTTTCAGAGGTCTAATTTTGTAGTGTGCGATACTCAATTCTCGCGCGCACTAGTTTTCATTATAGTGGGAACGTCAACAAGATGTTCAATCTCCAAAGTACGGGTGCATTTTTGGGGCAACCGTCGTGAAGTTCATTCTCTCACGGACTTATGCTTCATACGTATAATGTGCGGAATATCAGCAAAGAGAACATACTGTGCTATTTGGAAAATTCGTGATGATCCTTTGCTGCGAAATTGAAGTGCTCTTCAAGCTATTTAAAATTTGGCAATAAGCTGTCGGTCTGGTTTCATGCATTTCATACGTCCTATTTTCTGCCAATTTCTCTGCACTATTCTTTCTCAAGTTCTGTACATCTGCGCTTGTGGCATAAAGTTTAATCTCACCTACTTCTAATTTTACCCACGCATTCCAAATGTTTCGAAACCACTACCCATCGCAGCAGCTTCACACATCAGTTATTACTTAATTGTTTACATCTCCCACTTTACAAGATCCTCATCATGACGACGCTTACAACCAATAACAACAACAAACAATTATCTCTTACATGTATCTTGATCGAGTAGCGCTGGCTGAGATGTATATTTTTTCCTAAGATATGGCACCTGAAAACCAAGGCTATGCCAGAAGGTGAAGAAAGCATCATCAGTAACAGTTTTCGATAGTTCAGGTTGCTGAAACTGTTTTTATCACTAATGCTAGGCATATAAATTGTATATAATGTATGAGCTTCTGAATCATTTTTTTGCAAAAAACTGCTTTTTTTGCACATCCACAAAATAAATGTTTCTAAAGAGCATATCCGGAATGCTATAAAGATGCGTCCTGAAATCTGAGGCTAAATGTATGATTGAGCCGCATCAAAAATCTCTGTAAAAAGCGTTACAGCTGGTATCAAACAATCAATTAGATCTGTCAATGTTCAACGACTACTGTAATCACTCAGTATTCAAGTAACCCATAAATCTTATGTCAACCTTTACCTCATGTTGTGTCGATCTTCACGAGTGAATGTGTCATTCTATATTTTCTCAAAGATTCCGTATTGGATCATGCGCACAATCATCGGACGTGTATTTTTCATTTTCGAGGCTTTTGCATTTTGCTCATTTTCCAGTGTTGCGATTGCATCATCAGAGCAATTAGTTTCTTAACGGTTTACCCATTCAACTTGAGGTTCACATGAAATCGGTTTTCTTTTATTTCTTCTTCGGTCTTATTTTTTGATGTTGATAAAGCTTTATTTTTCCGTCATGCATTGGAAAACACTAAGTTAGAAATCACTTTTCTGGGAAATGTTCTTGCATTTGTTGCCATTTAAGCGTCAAGAAAAGTAAATCTCTGGCTAGTATTCCTTTCCTTATGCTTCATGGATCCGCAGAGAACTGCGCTTCAGTTTTTTGTGCTCACACATGTGACGAAATCCATAGAATGTGCACCTGCTGCCGTTGTCTTTGCCTGCAGTTTCCAATGAAAAAAGTATTCTTTTTGAGGTGAATTTTAGTTGAGCGCAGGAGGAGCATTCTGCAGAATCCTAGAGTCTGAATTATGTATCTACTCAACTAATAAACAGGCTCTGAAAAGAAATTGATCTTCTGTTCTATATTTTTTATTGTTTTTTGGGATAGTCTAGCAACATTTTAACTGAATTCTTCTGATCTATGATTCTGAACCGTGTAAAGCTCTAGCAAAAATTTAGCTATTTCTTTTTTGCAAAAAAAGTATGCTGTGAAGGCTTATAAAAGCTCAACATTTTCGAAATATTGAATCGACACAGTGTACCTACTATATGCAGCTTTGAGGACTTTTCCCTGATTCATGTTGTTGTTTGTTTTTTTTTCAGTTCTAATAATGTTGCAACTCATGACAATGAAGTTTGAATTCAAAGTCTGATGGTAATGATTTTATTGATATGATTAGGGTACACTTGTTGCAAGTGCCAATTTCAGTATTACTGATGCATATCAATTACTGGAGATTAATATTGAAAGCTCGAGGTTGTCAGTATGCAAAACAATTTGCTTGACCTGTTATTCTTCCCTTCTAAATCAGTTCTTATATCTTTATCTCATTCATAATTTGGATCAAAGCAGTCGTGGAATCGATCCTTTTTGAGATGCTCACGAAATTTAACCATTTGCAAATACCCAGTTCCGTGCTGCTCAGTTCAACGTCATAAGCCTAAATTTGAAGTGCGAAACTTGAATCCGTCAAAATGAAACCGTCATATTTCAGATGTGCTCGTCTTCCTCATGATGTAATGCTGTCGCCATGCCTCTGTTAGTATGCCTTCGTTCTATAGACAGAGAGAGTCTCTGAGGACCGGAAGGCCAACTCGGCAAGGTAAGTGTCGATTGATATGCTATGCTTTTGCTCTGGAGTGCCCTATTGGATGGCCAAACAATTGAAATTACTTTTGGGAAAAATGTTTTGCGATTATTTCTTTTGCCGCGACATCTCTGCCGTTGCCGTTGTGATAACAAAACCATCATTACAACTTTTCTTACAATGAGTGTTAAAATAACGAGTAAATCTATGCATTTGACAATTTAGCGACTCAGAAAATCTCTAAAAGTAAAGTCTTGATGACTACAGAGAATGAATTGCTTGTTGAGAGTTACACTGAGGTAACATTCACAAAGGACTATTCGTCTTATGTGCAGATTTTTTTTCTACTAAAAAAAGACTTCAATGAGAGTTTTTTTGAAAATTCCCCTGATTTCAAAGTGGAAAAAGAATCCATTTTATTGCTTTATTTAGCAACCTTTTAACATACGATTAATCAATAAAAGGAAATTCTGCGAACAATCATATGTTTCTTCCGCAGTTTGGTTATTTTCATCAATTTTGTAGGATATGAGCAAGCATTGAAGCACTGAGTTATTGTTCATGGGGCATAGAGTAGAGGAAACTAGCAAATTTTAGAAAAATACGGGGGCTCTTTATTGATTTACTCTCTTCTTGACCAGATTTTTTGATCTTTATGTGCCAAAAGGTAATTACAAAAGCCATTCGACAGTCATTCAGTTTGTGTCCAAGCAACTCTGTTGGCAAGTTGCCAGTTTTCACAAGGAAAGAAAGAGGGAGAAAACATCGCTGTTATTCTAGCAAAATCCTAACTCTGCAAATTTTCTGCTCAGTGCTGTTAGAACTCTCATTGCTCTCTCTCTAAATGCCATGAATAAATGTTTCAAACGACTTGCCAATTAACGTCAGCGTTTGCCTTTCGACCGAGCATCCTCTGCTCCTCGACCTCTCACATAAACTACTTTCAACTGCTTTATGTACTGCTCTTATTCTGCAACATTCATTGATCGTTGCTAATCTGCAAGTTGTCGCATTGTTCCAAAGTGTCGACGTCCGACATAAAATAATCTCGTAAATTGCCCCCAAAGTATTACATGATGACGGGATTAAGCCGATGCTAACACGGCAGCGGTAACTCCAGGCCGCTTAGAGATGATTGTATACCTCCCGGGTGACGAAAAAATAGTTATTGAGTCTGATAGCGTAAAAATTTTCAGCTAGTTGATTTTTTCCGTAATCAAAAAATGGTCCCAATGCGTTGATTGAGCGCTAGCGCTATACTTTTTGAGGGAGTTTGATATTCACAACGAGATTTGTAGTGTTTCTTTGATTTTTGCTATTCAGAAAATGCTCAGTCTTTTATACACGTTTCTCACGAAAAAGAATGCTGTATGGCGCTTTAGATAATTAAAACGAATTCCAATTCCACATGCCTGTCTATTTGCTGTTTCTTTCGTTTAAAAAAGCTTAGATTTTCACACATCGTATACGTGATGATGCGAAAATCTGTCTCTTAGTTTTTAACCTAAAGTCTTTTAACGTTCTTCTGAAAGTCACATCATATCGCTGCAACCTACTTTCAAAAACCCAGAATATTAGTCGTTGTCTTCTTTGCTCTTTAACAATAATGAGTGTTATTGAATGTCCATGCAAATTTGCACAAGCTGAGGACATTAGCATGACATTTCGAGTACAATCACAATCACTTCAAAATTCCACCATTTTTTGCAAATATCACTCGATATATTCTAGACCACATAATAGCCAAGTTTTTTGTAATCCATCGGGGAAAGGGAAATTAAGATCTTGGATAGAAGTTTCAAGCTCGGGCATAGCTGGATATAATTCTGTGATCCTTTGATTCCTTCTAAGCTGTTTAGGAATTGGCTAAATACATCCTTTTCATGAACGATTCATCGCATCATCTTCTAGCGCATATAATTTCCATAGATCACAAATTCTCAAATTTTCTTGGCTTTCTGGAAAGTTGAGTGGCAAATGGGAGAGGGGGGGGGGGCTAAAGTAATTACCATAAGTGTTATTCATATGGTGATCAATATAGTAGTGATTGTCTGCATTGTGCTAAGATGGAAAAAGCCGAATGTAATTGTTGAATTTAATATAAATACTTTCCAATAATCAACAAGTTGTGGGATTCCATCGAAACCTCATGCAAAAGCAGATTTTTGATTCTTTCTGCATATGTCGCTTTTGGAGTATTGATGTGCATTCTTCTTTCTCAGTCGCATACTTTGTTTCTTGATGGCAGTATTTGTTTTCTGTCACCATCTTGGCATCAGTCTATCACAGTGCGGATTCGCATCACTCAGTGCGAATCGAAACAGCAAGAAATGTGGCACTTTCACTTACAAAACCTGCATCAAATTCATCCATTCCGAAAATGCAAGCTGAATAACAAGGGTTGGGTAATATCTGCAACCTATCCGTGGTGCATGTGAAACAGTTAACCTCCTCAAAAGTTTATATGCATCCGATGGTGAGCATCATGTTCATGCGAAATCTTTTGAATTTTCCCTCACAGCACTCGTAAATCTTGGGCCCTCCCCCCTCTCTGAACCTATGTTTCAAAGTTACATTTAAGGGTGTGAAGTTTACTATCCACCCGAGAATACACTTCTAACAACACACTGCGTGCTAAGTGCAGTGAGCAAAATGACTGGGAGGAAATAAATTTAGGGATCGCGATGGTTAAGAATTTTTACGGTAAAGAAGGGAGTTGACTAGCTTTAGTTATTTGCAGAAAACCTTGAATCTCATTTGATTAAACCTATGAATAAAAAACTCTGTGGTCGAATAAAAATCATCAATTAAACGCATTGAGCTCAGGCAGTCATAAAAAGTATAATAAACAAAGCATGAAGTAGGGAGAAACTGGCTAACTTATAGAAGCTACTTCTTGTTAACTCAATTAATGTACAGAATTAGAGTAGATTAATGTGCAAGTAACTATTATAAATAGCTATTATTACTATAGCTAGCTGTAGCTGGCTAATATGCAGAATTAAAAACTCAAAGCATATGGCGACAAATATCTTAGCAACTTTGACGAACTACTGCGCTTTGCTAGAGTGGCAAAAAATCAAAAACTCGATGTTTCTTACTTTTTGCAATCCGATGCTTCAGGATTAAGTGATAAATGTAATCTTTTCAGCTACCAAGATGAGGAGCATAATAGCATTGCACGCTTTCGATAATGTTGATAGGTTCGATAAGCAGAAATTTCAGAGCGTTACTTTTACAATTTCTTGCTATCTGAGAGGAAACAGTTGGCAATGACTTGTTAAACTACTCATCTTCGAGATTAGGACAAAATTGTGGTAATGTTGGGAAGATATTTTGGAAATTCGTGCTTGCAATTTCTCTTGACTGAAATAATAGTAGTTCACCGCTAACAAGACCATTTTGGTCGTCCAAGGTAATGGAAAAATGGAGAAAATTAGAAAGACCAATATCAAACAGAAGAGAACGCCATCCAATTAGGTCCTCCAGAGGTAAACGAAAACAACATCTTTAGGTAAGAATAGAATGATTTCTCGCATTCAGGGCACGGTCGTGATTCTACGAGCTATCACCACGCTGCAGTGGTAGAAGTCGGAGCCATGGTGCTCCAGAATATGTTCAGGTGTGTGTTTTTTTTGGCAACTAACAGGGAAGTTGTAAGTTACAAGGTGACTCAATCATTACTCTATCGGGACCCCACTTTGTGGAAGTGATTGTATTATACATAAAGCAAATTGTGTCAACCACCTACGCAAAGTCTTTGCAAGTTTTTTTCAAGTTCTTGTATGTATGTGCTCTCGTGAAGTGATGGTCCCGCCGTGTATGGCTCCTTAGAGGCAGCATCGACCCAAATCTTTATCTTCCGTGTTTTTGTCGTTCTGGGGCCTTTCCGTAGCCCTGATTACAGAATGAACTGCGAATGTGACCCCCCCCCCAAAAAAAAGCAGATCTTGAAATCAGATTCTTGGGATCCGTATTCTGAAGGCGCAAATGACTTTCGGTACCTGGGTGGTCGGAGCTTGATAAAGCGTACGAAGGCTTGATTTATAGCACTTTTGCGGGTCACAGGTCCATTTTTTTTCATTTAGAGGCCACATTAGAGGACAGGACCAACCGAGATGTCCTATGTACTCCCGGAATTTTTTGTAGACTAGGTAATTGGGGAGAGCATGGATTTTGTCTGGGCGCTGCTTTGATATTAGAAAAAATATAGAGCAGTAAAATGCTTCGGTTGTAATTGTTCAGCCAATAATGGCATCGGATGACGTTTCAATGAAACTGCCGGTTTTTTTTTGGTATAATTTATTTAGACTCATGAGTGCGCTAGAAAAAGTTAGGTAATGCCATGTTTATAACTAGATGTTAGCTTCATAAGTGCTAAAAATCTTCATAACCGCCAAGCTCCTTTCTGCTGCCACCTAGAAAATTCTCCGCACTTTTGATATTTTTCGACTAATGTTCTTGCATAATCAATACATAGAGACGCTTCTCCAAGGTACAAATTTGTAGTCTAGTCATAACGTAGCAGTGACTTGTATCTACGGAAAAAAAAGAGCAACGTGTTTTGCACGAGCGCTGTGGGATTCGTGTTAGACGAAGCGAGGGATTTGGTTGATAACACTTGACTGCTCCGCCGATAATTATAAATTAGACTTTTCCGGTCTCTTCTCAAATTAGATGTATCAGTAGCATTCAAGAAGTTACGAAGGTATTTGAGGCGGGCCAGCATAATGAATTTTCACCTGTTGCAGCTGCTTCAGTGTTCTCTAACTTCAGCTTTTGGTGATAAGATGTAGCCCATTATCAGTCTTGTACTGAAAGAACTTACAAAGGAAGCCGTTCCAGTTGAAGTGGCCTTTCCGACGGAGTCTTGCTGATTCCATACCACTTTTCGCTGGTTGCCAAGCGTTCGTGGACGCCGGGCTATGAGTGTTTTTACAGAAAACAAAATGAACGCGGAGTTCATATAAAAGATGGTTACGCTTTTTTTGCTCAATTGGAGCGATGTTGAGTATAAGGTTATTAAACAGAAATGGTTCATTATTGAAGTTGCAATACTCGATACCTGACTATTTGAGCAATTCTGAATTTTATTTCACTTGCGCATTCAATCTTTTAACCTAACGCGCAAAACTCGGCCTTCAGAAGTGCTTGGCAGATAATGAAGACAGATTTGGTATCACCGTTCAAGACTCTTCAGAGTGATGTGGGTGACATGTGGAAAGGCCACTTCGACTGAAAAGGCTTTCCTTATTAGCTTCTCAAATTACTTCATCTCTTTTTGTGCAGGAAAATGTATGCCGCTACAGAGATTGATTTTGGAACGAAAATTCATAATTACTTTGAGCATCTTTGGGCATATATTCTACATATATCGTATCTTCACTCTTGATGAAAAAGTCCATGAACTTCCTTTTTCCTTCTTTGCGTGGTACGTTCGCGAAAGAAATGCACTCCGCGAATGGAAAAAAACAGTAAAGAGAACTTCCTCAGTAAGAAAAAAAAGGAAAGCTGCACGTCTCATGCTCATGCATTTAGGATCCGCGACAACGTCTCAGGGTCTATATTGCTCTTAATAACGCAAGGATTTCCGCACTTTATTGATATTTATATTTTACACATAAGAATAACTCCTACACGATAATGAGCGCCTTGTAAATTCGGTGTAATCAGATGTAGTGTAAAGTAAACTAGTTTGTATTATTTCAACAGAAAGATTTTGTCTAAATTGTAGGCGCATTCTTCTGGCGCATTTTTTCACAAAGTAAGCCATAGGTCAACATATGATTTTGTCACTATTTCTTTTTCTGTTGAGTGAAAGATAATCAAACGGAATTTTTCCTTGCAAATTTGCATAATGCGCCGGATTCAAGACATTTCGGAACGGTACATATACATGGTGCAGCAGATGGCTTATAGGGTCTTTTTGAATTCCGTAGTTATTTTATCATACTCCAGTAATATCTAGTTGAAGGCTTCGGCCCGTACTTCCGATAACTTTATGAAGCTGTGCCGCCGCTGTTTGTTTAGGAATTACAATGACAGAACGAGCAGCGCTTTCGATAAAATGCGGCAGTGCGAATGAGCATGCGACGTCGCAACTTTTATATCCTTCAGATTTTGAATAAAAACGGTGTTTATATCGATATGTACCACGTGCAGCATAATCGGATTTGGCTGATAGGCGCTATTTCAGTAATGCTTTATGCTGTAAACTTCGCATTAGGGGTTATTTAGCTGCCCGCTGAACATGATTATTGGCTTCTCAAACGCTATTTTTTGGGTTACAGTGGGTAAATGGTAGATGAGTCGAGGTTCCGCATTTGCTCAAAATTGCCTAGAAAAGTTTTTATACATGCTAGTTACGAATGTCATGTTTGCTTGCTGCAAAAACGCGTTTTTTTAGAATTAAGTTAATTTACAGCGGAGAAAGTCTTTTTCTCGTTTAAGGCCAACTTAGATCATAGAAATTTACGTTAAGGCTTTATCATGCACAATGAGCACGATATCTATGATCAGCATCGCATAGCCCCTGTGCAGAAATTTTCAAGGTCTATGGTTTTGACCCCTACCACACACCTACTGTAACTCCGCGAAAGGTCTCAAACTCAAGGAGAGTATGTAGTAGTAGTAGTAATTGTGATCAGCATGTGGAATTACCTGGGCTACGTCTGAATCCCGTGTGACACCTACCGTGTGCCCACCGTAACCCCACAAAATGGCGCTACCATGCAAAGCCAATCTGATATTCGGCATCAGCGGGCCGAATAACCCCCATGGACCAAGTTTACGCGATATCCATGTTAAAAAATCTTGAGGCCCGAATACTGGAATAGCCTTTGTTTTGTCTTCCAAGAAACCACAAAGTTACTTCTTGAGCAAACAATTTCAAAGACTTCATTCCTTTCGAACACTGGGTTCAGAGCTTATTTGACATGCTGATCAAGAATATGCTATTCATTCCACGAAATGAAGCCACTTTGATGACTAATGAAGTGCATGCTTTTCAGCCGCGTGCGAGTTCGAGATCCGAAACGTGTTAACAGTGTTGATTGTAAACCATTCATGTTTACATTTCGCATTTCTTTTCTCATTATCAAGAGAAATCAAAATCATGTGCTTCCAATGTAATTTGACATTAGTTCATAATTAAACCTGCTAAAGAGTAAAGTTTTTTGGTTATGCTGGTTGTGTAGGCAGTGTTATAATCCTTCAAAATATTTAGGTCGAGCTGATGCGCGAGCTAATCTTGGTTGAATTTGTTGAAAATGGTGACATTTGTAAAATTTTCTCTGTTTTTTTCTATTCAATCATCTACAAGAACTTTTCGAAATTTTGCGTCCAACAAGAACTGTTTGGCATCATCATGTTTGCTGTTTATCGAAGCCCTTGATATGATCTGCAAAGTGATGTCGAAAGGTCCATTTATGAAGGCTCCAGTGCATTGAGGAGCGGAGCTAAAAATAGGACACATTTTTGAAGTAACTCTGTACAGTTCGACTCCATTTGTACACTGAAGGGTGTAACAAAATTGGGGACTGTTTACCCTAGTTCCTGGTTGGCGAGGATTTTCACATTTCCGCACAACTTAAAAATCACTGAGGATAGGATGTCTCCATTAAGCGTTCCCTTCAAGTTGTGCTATCACATCCAGAGTCATGAGGTCTCTGAAACATCGCTCCGTTCCTGTAAAAATGTTTTTCAGTGCGCTTTCATTCCTGCACTACAGAAAAGATGACGATTTTGTCGATAGGTTATCCTATTTCTATACATCGTCATTTCTCATTATGATGGCTGTTCTTGTTAGCTTCAAGCAGGTAAGGTTTTTTAAAATCTTTCAGATATTTGTCAGGTGGTGTTGTTAAAATCTGCAAATATTATTTACTTCTTGTTGTACTTATTTCCTGCTCTTCTTTGTGGAATTAATAAATCCTTCAATGCCGTATAAATATCCTCACTTTTTCTCTTTTTTATCCTCTTTATGCATGTGAGCTCAAAAATTGATAATTAATGTGAATTATAACGCTGCCAATCTTTTTTTCGGGCAGGCTTAATCAGAAGCAAAAGCTATTTTCGATCAAAGTCAGGTGCCAATTTCCCTTGTCTAGCCGTCAATTACTTCATATTACGTACTGCTTGATTTTGTATTGACCAATTTCTAGCGAGCTATTAAAGTTTCCTTTGTACCAAAAATCAGCAAGGGAAATTAGTGTAAATGGACAATGTTCAATTCGCTAAGTTCTCCAATTTTCAATGTCAAAGTCACACGTTTTCCATTGTTTACAAAATTTTTACAGTTTGGCGGACGACCGTTGGAATGTTGGGTTCCGGCACAATTCACCGCTAGCTGGGAAGCCTATACGGAAATGTACTGTTGGGCGCAGAACACTTACTGGGTTCCTATTGAACAGGTAAACTTTTTGTCTTCAAGGGAAAAGCATGCTGAATGTGTGCTGCTTTCAGGACATCCCAGTGGATATCTCTGAGCGGGAATATCGCCAAATATCCTACTACCAATGGGTTCCGTTCTTTCTCTTGATACAAGCCTTCCTCTACTATATTCCGTGCCTTATGTGGAGACTTATGAGTGATAAGTCAGGTAGGACATCGTTGTTTCTCTTATTTTCCTTATTCGTTCATATGAGTCTTCACTGAATCTAGTTTATTAGGCGGTAAATTTGGCTATAACCAACAATGGTTGGTTATAGCCAAATTTGGAAGGTTTTTCTGACATTGTTACTCACTATCACTGCCAAGGAGTGTGGAAAGAGAAAGGAACCTAAGAATATCTTCAGGTATACGACTCAACGACATCGTCCAGATGGCAACTGAGAAGGAAAATATCGAACCCGATTATCGGATTCGTACTATTGAGTCGCTATCGAGGCACATCGAGTCGGCGTTGAGGTATTTCTTCATTTTTTGCCTTGCTCTCATTCTTATCCATGAGAATCGGCAGAGAGTGGAAAAAATCAATAAATTTGTTGAATGCTGTGGGCAATTTTGGTTACTGTAACATGACTGTAATCTCTTGAATGGCTACGCTCCCGATATTCGTAAACGATACCGCGTTCGACTCACTGGTCAGTGCTGAAAACCGACCCTTTATCGGTAAAAAAAAACAACCGCGTTTCACACGTTGGACAACGTGCATCTTTAATGCCTACCACGAAAAAGTCGAAAATTCCTAGCTAAAATCACGCAGAGCGTCATCTCTTACCTACACCGTGGCGTACCCAGGGTGAGAAGTGGGGAAGGGTCGCAAAATTTTTAAAAGTTATTTACATGAGTAATAAAAGTGTGCAAGTGACCTGTTTATACTTGCAAATAATCAAAATCTTCAAATTATAAAAAACTTACTTTAGCCTTACAAAAAAAATTTCGGGGGAGTGGCTCGCGCCACGCCCCCAAATTTCGGGGTTAGGGGCCCGCAGTTTTGAAAGGCATACCAGAAATTTGTTCGGAGTGACGCCACGCACCTTCATCAGAAAAAATTTTTTGTAGCCCCCCCCCCCCCCGCTCCCCAACGGAAACCCTAAGTACGCCACTGACCTACACATATTCTAAAAAGCAGTCAAGAAACGTCTGCGTGCCTCACGCCACGCACCTACATCAGAAAAAAAAAATTTGTCCTCCCTCCCCCCGCCCCCGAACGGAAATCTTGGATACACCGCTGACCTACACAGATTCTGAAAAGCAGTCAAGAAATGTCAAAGTACCCTCTAAAAAAATCTGTGCCGTGACTCACCATGTGGGTCACATTATCGTCAATAGATTAAAAAGGATATTTTAGTAGTCAAGGCACAAAGATGCAATATAACATGAGTCATCGAGCCTGGGAAAACTGAGACCGAGAGATTAAGAGGTTGAAACATAATAAATAACGAAAAACAACACAAAATAAGATGACATAGGACAAAGTAGCAAACCAACAGAAGAACAAGATTTTATATACGCCTTATATACGCAAAGTAGAGCCTTATTTTAGAAAACTAACCCTCATCAGAACGATTCTAAAAAATTCCATAACCCACTTTTGGGGACAAATGTGCTGCGAGAACCTGAGTTTCCCATCAAAAACTAAACATATGAGCAAGTTTGGTCTTGGAAATTCGAAGTTCTTTAGGGTAGGTTTACTTTGGAGAATTGATCCACTTTAAAGACAATGTTCGAAAAACTTCACGCAAAAACTCCTGGAACTATGCTGCAAATTCCTTTTTTCGCTTCAGAAACTGAGCACATGAGCAGGCCTAGTCTCGTCAAAAAAGAAAGTCAAACGCAATGCAGAGCATATCTTGTTAGCGACTGTAAGCACGGTGGCAAGATCTTTGTTTTTTTTTCAGCTGCCTAAACCTCGAAGAAACTTAGTGTTAATGCATTTGGTCGATTTTTCTTGGCAAGTAAACGGACTTGAAAAATGCGAGGATTCTTCAAATTTCTTTGTTCGTAAAACCTAAAAATTATCTTGGAGTTTTCCCTGCACATGAAACTGCGCAGTGTATCAATCTCAGATCTTCAAAGTATCCGTAAAACTTTGCAGCCAATAAAAGCGGTATCCTTAAATAATTGTCGGATCTGTACTTTCTTTGTCTACATACCCTTGTGTACCAGTTTTCAACATCCCCGCTTTTTTGCACTTCTCGCCCTAGGGCGAGAAGTGCAAAAAAATAATGAGTCCGTTGACTGAGAACTTCTTGAACTTCTCGCATAGGTTTGTAATTTCTTGAAAGGTCTTCATTTTCGGTATCAGCATGTTTCCTTACCCCAGTCAAGTTGGGGAAGCATAGTTGTGGACTCAAAGCCACGAGGCTGATTATTTCCTGCGCGCTACAGAGACGATGATTGCAATTTGCAGATATCAACACACTGCCACTTCAAGAACTCAGTACACTTTGCACAGAGTGTTCAAATGTTTCAATATGCGTTACTATGAGAGTTACGTCACCGGCATGTACCTAGTGAGTTCATACCTTTACATGCGAATGGTTCTTTTATGCTTTCACGAAATTCTTTTGAGCTGTCGTAAACTATTTTGTACGTAAGTGTTTATTCAGGCAACGAAGATTATGTATGTGGGAAACATTCTCACAAATCTCGTGCTCGTTAACAAATTCCTGGAGACGGACGATTACTCTATATATGGCCTCGGAGTGCTGAGGGATCTCCTCTTCGGTAGGACGTGGATGGAGAGTGGAAATTTTCCCCGAGTGACGCTGGTAAGAGGCGATATCCATAAATTGTTTACAAATCACTACCGTTTTTTCAACCGCTTTCAGTGCGACTTCGAGGTCCGAGTGTTGGGGAATAACCAACGGCATTCTGTGCAATGCGTTTTAGTTATTAATATTTTCAACGAGAAAATTTTTATCCTCATTTGGCTGTGGTTCACTTTGCTTTTCATCGCCTCAACACTCGATATGCTTTACTGGTTTAGCATATCGATGTTTCATAGGTGAGCTTCCTTTGGTGAAACCTTCAGGCTTTATCATAGTTGTAAGCAGTTAGTTTCTTGTTTGCTCAAGCATTAGGTCTAAACAGAATTGTAGTTTTAATCAATTAAAAATTAAAAAAATTCTGTTAAAAAAGTGTTTGTAGGTCTTTCAATTTGGCGTGAATATGGGTTCTGAATTTGTGCTCTACTGAATCCTCACGATGTTAGCTAAATCTTTCTTTTCGAAATTCTAAAGCTTACATGCTTCATCCATACGTCGTGAGATTTCCTCGATAAAAAAACAGAAACTTGACCTCAAAAGCTTTTCGTATTTGTCTAATTTAGTTGGGCTACACAGAGAAAGTGAGCACGTTGATAAACGCTATAAGCCACCCATATAACCATCTGCTTTCCAGAAATTTGTAGCCAAAACAATGTCTTCTAATATCATATTCCTGTGACAACAGTCTTATTGAGTGTTAGATATGAATTTTTTTGGAGTTGAACGGCGATTTAGGGATCGCTTTCGATTTGTTCTACGGCATTTGGAACTCACATCCGATCCAGACAAACCTGAGCTTTTTCGAAAAGAAAAGCGGAAGCAGGTTGAACACTTCCTGCGTACATACCTCAAGGTAACAGCTTGGGCTCACTCTCACGTTTCAGCTGATCGTACTTCAGGTTGATGGTGTGCTGGTACTGCGGATGATAGCGTTACACGCTGGGGTGATGTTTTGTACAGAAATCACTGACGCGTTATGGAAACGCTATCTTTCCCAGCATCCCGAGAATTTGATAGATGAGGATTCTAGTCTGATCACTTTCGCGAGGTGCGTGGAGTGTCAAAGTAAGTGAATGATAAAGAATAGCGAAGACATTACAGAGCGCAGTCGATCAGGCGGAAACGGCTTAACGATGGAAGTGGGGGAGGTCCTGAGGGACAAAACCATCAGCGACTCGGACGGATACTCTCGCACAGGTAAATTAGAGTGTCTCCTAGTTGTTTTCGCAAACTTATTTCTTCTTTCAAAAGTCATCAGATGTGAGACTCAATCTAAAATGCGTGTAACATTACCACGGGCACATTACATGACTACCTCAGAAATACTGAAGTACTATGTAGCATTTTCAAAAAAAACGAACAGGAAGGAGAACGGCAGTATGTACTTCGTACGACATTCTTATTACTTTTCAAGCAAAAACTGATATAAAGTAATTATCACAATACTAACCATAGCCCATTCCCGCCAGAAAGCAACAAATGCTGCTTAGAAAATAAAATCTTCACTACAAAAGTAAGTTACCATGTTCACTCACTCATGTATACCAAATAGCTTTCTAGTTCAGTTTGCAAAAGAGAGTTAGTCAAAACTGCTTTTCGGTATCAATCATGCAACCTGCACCTCTAAACTGCTCACCCTTGTTCTACATCACTTCTGTGGCCGTATTCATCATTGATACCTTGAGGTAAATTCTACCTCCAGGAAGTTTTATCACTCATTATCAGCAAAATTACATTGAGAACTTACCTCAAGGTACTTTGTGAATACGGGTACTTGCTGATAATGAGTGATAAAACTACGTGGAGGTAGAATTTACCTCAAGGTATCAATGATGAATACGGCCGCTGGTTGTTACCGGTTGCGCATTAGATATTGAGGCAAATAAATATCATATAGGAGTACGGGCGGTAGCTTTCGCCTCAATCGCACACAGTCGACGAACCGCTCTCTCAACGAAGGCAAAACGACTCCTACTCAATCTACTCCTCAAGCGTCCACAACGAGGTATGCTGGTACCTCTAGCAGCCGTTTTTTTCTCAGGAGAGTGCGTTTTTCCAGTCATTTGTCACATGCATGCATGCTTACCTCTCTCACGCCATCCAAAGTGCATTTCAGCTTTTCTAAGGTCAAGCCTCGCCGTACCGTCGTTACCATAACGCCTAACACAGAGCTGATCGAGCCGAATGGAGGCGACACAATTCAGGAGGCTAGCAAGCGGGAAGGCGTCCCACTTGCCGTCTGACAACTACCATTTATCGCTTAGATTACTGCCTCATTTATGGATCTCTATTAGGCATTGTACGAAATTCCACTACTCATTGCTACGGGTTTCCAACGTTTTCGTCCCAGATAGCTTTTATTAAATCACATATTGAAGTCCCAGTTTATGCAACATTGTCTACACGTACGATAATGAAATCACTTTCAATGAAAGCTCAGGCTTGATTGTCGAATTTCTATTTTGAACCAAGAAATGATGGCCTTATGATCATGCCGATATACTATTGATAGATTCTCTCCAACCCCTTGCCTCATGCACTTCGCAAGAATTGATTTCGCTGATGCAAATCGGTCCCTTAAAATCAAGATTTGGTGCCAATAATGTCATGATTTCATTCTCGCTAACAATCTCTACAGCTTCCACTGCAAGAGGATTGCCGAAATGCACAAATCATTCGTGTTACCTCCTTCCATAGCCGCGACTTCATTTGGTGTTCGGTTAACCTGTATCTAATAAAAATAGTACCATATACAAATCTTTATATATAAACGTAGACTCTTTTCCTGCAATAAAAGCCTGCAGTCAGCGTGAAGTAAACTTTATGTTGAGAAAATTTTAGAATATTTTCATGGTAAATCGCAGAGCGAAGGTAGCATGCTCATCCGCATTAAAAGCAAAAACCTCTGCCATTGCTAATCTGTCCGTACTTGTTACGTATCGTCTAACTTAACCTACTTAGAGGCATGACTCGGCAAATTTTCGACTTGAAGTTTTTTTGGGGTAACTTGACGCGCAGAACCCGAAAATCCATCTTGAGGACCCCACATAAGCGAAAACTAGCACTTTCCAAGACTTCCCATTTTGAATCTAGACGAGGAGGACGGCTCCCGCCATTGTTAGAGACGCAGAGTCGTTGCGGGACTCCCATGGTTGTAATAATGCGGCAGGCCTCCTCTGACAGTAAGAGGGGAATCGCAAGCTCGTCCAAGCGCGTGTAAGATTGGCTTGTACGGGTTTAGGGGCGGTTTTCTAGGCAGGGGCATGCCATGTGTTCAGAACTGCTCTATTCTCATGTTTGGGATGCAAGCAACCTTCCATATCCGAATTTCAAGATGTCCTGTTTTGCCGAGCCACTACCTCCGAGCCACTGCTTTTAAAGTTCAAAAATAAAACGAATGTGGCGGACCGTTTTGAATATAGCATCAGTCACGGAAGTAGCGAACAAGTTTAGCACAAAGATAAAGCAAGGCCGACTACTTGAAAGTGCACGAATCACTCGAATACCTACCATAACATGACATGTACTAAATACTCTCCACACTCGCAGTCTTGTGAGGACAGTGAGCAAATCATTTATGTGTTTGACACCTTCCGTTCGACATCTTCAGGGAATAGCTAAATGTGTGGAGCTCTTCAGATACAGCGAGTTTATCTTTATTGCTCTGAAATGATGCTATCACTCAATTTTCGATACCGTTAATGATTCGTGTGTTGGGATAGATATAATCCTCAAGATGTCTCAAAAACACTCTTTATCCGTACTTGTCAATCTCGGTAAAAACTTTTAAAAAGTCATTCTTAGTATATATGCAAGAAATGTGAAATAAATTCTTTCCTCTATAAACCGTTTTGCCATTGTGGACACCCTAGATGCGCCCTACTGTCTTCTAAGAATGACTTTTTACATTTTTACCGAGATTGATAAGGTTGGATAAAGAATGTTTCTGAGACTTCTTGAAAAATAACAATGTTCCACAAAAATGTTGTGTTAATTCTTAAGAATGATCGAAAAATTCCTAATCAAAAAGCCCATGTTTATCCTTCAGCGATAGTGACGTTCAAAATAGGTTAAGAGACCTAGCTATTCCTTGGCACGTGGCAGACAGGCAGGGCAACAAAGCGAAATTAAAGTAAATTCCATTCAAATGTAGAGTTCCCAGCTCACGATTATCTGAAGAAAAAAAACGTTACTGCAAATTTGTACACGCTACTTCAACAGTCGAAAGAAATTCGAAGAATAGACTAGCATCTGACAATGATTGACACAGATGTATACAGATAGAACCACCAAACTGAAGGCAGAGACCATGCAGAGCAGAGAGATAATCAAGTACTTGAAAACGTTATCAACATCGGCTGAACAGTGAGAAGCCAAACTTGATGCAGCTATGGTTTAACCACTTCCGCACTTCACTGCAAAACTGCAGGAGCGGGGGATGCGGAAGGCCACAATGCGCGCAAAATGCGAGCAGAGTGAAATCGCTCTTGCTAAGTTTCACAGAATTTTACTTGCGGCAAGTCATGTTATCTGCCCCCTTCCCCACCCTCTCTGCCTTGGCGCCGCGACACTTAAAGGCAGCGTCCGTATCATCGGTGACGATGATGTCTCCTCACGGGGGAGGGGGGGGGGCGGCCCCGCATGTTGTTTTGGTGGCTTTGGCCCCCCTTCAGTTGTTACTCTACATTGGCGATAACCGCCCCAATAAACCTCTCGCTCTCAACTGTCTTTTGCCTCGAAGAATCCACTGAACCACCAAAAAGTAAGTTTAACTCGGGTACAATTACCCAAGAGTCTCGCACAGTATACCCAATATTCTGGTGCAACGGCCTAAACAACCTATTCCTCCCGCGTCACTTGGTTGATTCCATTTGGCCCCTGGAGAGAGACTAGCTCGCTGAGCAAACCAAGACTCCCGTGCCTACACCGGAGCAACTCCAGTACTCACAGTACCTGGAAACTTTGCACATACTGCAAAAACCTACTCCAGTGCCCAGCACCTGGAGAAAATTCCTGTACCCTAGTACCGGGAAATTAGCAAACCTTTTGCGCAGAACTGCTACAAAATGGCACTTCTACAATTCCACAAAGCTCCTATCGTGTCTAGTGCTAACAGTCTCAAAAACTTAGTTGCTAACTATAAGGAGTACACAACAAAAACCAGTTATCCCACTTTTGATGAGGAAAACTACGAGAAATGTAAAGATACTATTTCTCTTTTGCAAAGCGGCATCAGACAGCTTAGAGAGGGCAGAGAAAATCTACAAAACCTATTCAGCGAAATTAGGGATGAGTACAAAAATTGCAAGAGCAGGTCCGACAGAAAAGACCTGATGGTTGAAATCGAGCAAATTCAGGAGGAATCACAATTGCTAGTGGCCCTAGCCGAATCAACCGACCTAATATTCATGCTGACGGCCAATTGGACGAAAATAAGTGCATAAAAGATAAAATGGACATCAAACTCGGGCACGTCAGTCAAAATTCAAGAAAAGAAAACAACTTTATGGAGGAAATAGAAACTCTAACGATTGAAAATGAAAATTCTGAACAAAATGGAACGAGTAACGAAGGTGAAACGGACAACTCACCCACGGCTCCTCCTAATTCAGTGGCCTCTGAGATTTTCTATCCAGAGCCAAGTCGCTACCGGTCAATCAAACCCCCTCAAACAACGTTGCCTAAATTCAGCGGTAAACCAGAGGAATTTCCAGAGTACTGGGCGGCCTTCGAAACGCTAGTACACAAATGCAACGAAATATCCGTAGCGGAAAAAATCATACACCTCAAGGAAAGCCTCAAAGGCAGAGCCCAAATTGCCATAAAAGGTATAAATCCCGTTCCAGAAAATTACAGCTGGATCATTGAAACTCTAAAGCAGAATTACTGCAATCAGCCGACCAATAGGTCACAAATCGTGCAAAAATTGGTGAATTTGCAACCCGCTAAGACTACTGCTGACAGCTGTTCATCAACCCTCGACGAGATTCAAGTTCTGTTCTCGTCAACCAAATGATTTCCGCAGGGTACAAAGTGACAGATACTTATGACCCAATGTGGTACGAAACAATTTTGGCAAAGTTCCCACAAGACGTCGTAAAGGCTGTTCTCGTATCTGGCCAAATGGTTGACAAACAAACAATCGGGTCACTTCTGGCGCAATTGAAGAAAGAGATTACCGCCAAGTGTTTTGTGGAGAACAGACTTGGCCATACGGTAAACAACAGGGCCGGCATGCCAAAGCAAAAGTTTATCAATCAGCGAACTTACTCAAACGATAAGTGCATATTCTGCCACAAAAACAATCACTCGGCGATATCATGCAGGACGATTACCGATCAAACTACGCGCCGAAAAATGCTAAAAGACGAAAATCGGTGTTGGAAATGTTACTCATCTTGACATAGCAGTTTCGACTGTCACAAATCCGACTGCCCCATATGCGGTCAAAAACATCACTCCAGCCTCTGTTTGAGAAGGAAAACTCAACAAAAACCCCAAAATCACTCAAACTAGAATGGTAATCGCCGAAATACAGGCCAAAATAACCCAAGACCACCATATCAACAGGATCGTAATCAACGATTCCCAACAAATCAAGCCGAAACAAATAGAATGGCTTATAATAACACGCACACAGATACAAAAAACTCACAACATGCGGAGTTGAGTACTAGTGCATCATAACTTGTTCTCATGACTGCTGAAGGTAACATATGGAACCATAAAAAGCAAGAATACGAGAAAGTACTGTTTTTCTTCGATTCTGGAGCCCAAAAAACAGTGATTGAGGAAGGTTTGGCGGATCGCTTAAAAACTTCCAAAACAAACGACCGAAATTTGCACAATGTCGGGAATCGGAGGGCATATAGAATGCTTCAAAAGCCACAATGTAAATGTTAGAGTTAGTACTGCGTTTGGCGAAGAGCTCAACATCAAAATTCAGACAAAACCGGTCATAACAAATGGGTTTCCTAGCGTCAATTTGAGCTCGCAGGATATCGCATTTTTGAAAGAAAACAGCATTTGTTTAGCTAACTCCAAACTTAGAGGAGAACTTCAAGTTCCACACATTTTAGTGGGATTGGATTACTACCATGAGCTAGTGACAAGTCCAATCAACTCAATAAAAACGCCAACAGGTTTACAAATAACCAAAACAGTTTTTGGACCCACAGTTTACGGAAAAGGTCTTATAAACGCTATAAATGGCAAAAGTGATGTATGCTACGGACTTACAGCACTACATGAAAACAGTGAGCAGGAAATCCTGCGAAAAATGTTCAAATTAGACGGACTTGGAATTTCGTCGCAAGAATGCCAAAAGGATGACAAAGTTTACAAGTACCTTGAAGATTACTCCAAGAAAATCAGTTACGAAAACGGTCGAATAACTGCACCTTTTCCACTGAAAGACAACATTGTTCAGTTGGAAGATAACTACACAGTGGCAATTCGCCGCCAATCAAATCGTGAACAATGTCAGTGGTAGTAAAATCATCAAAAATTACGAAAAAGATGGTATTATCGAACCATTTTTCGAAGCGGAACAAAACGCAGTTGGCACCTACTATATGCCTCATTCCGGCGTATGGAAAGCACACAAAAAGACGCCTTTGCGGATAGTTTTTGACGCTTCTTTACACCGTAAAGA